TAGTGTCAGAATCATTGATTCCTTCCTACGCGATTCAAAGTTTGACCGGGGTTGGGTGTTGCTTGAAGTCTCCGAATGCGAATATCTGCCCCGACCCTGTCTCCGTCGATTCACGTCTTCACTATCCCCTAAAATATACAAAATCTAGCCATTTTACAGGGCATCCTTCAACAACAAAGAAACAAATCACGCCATGTTATGCATACATAACGTTCTGAATCAAGTCTAAAATCTAGTTGACCTATCCTGCAGGCCAGCACGTGCGGAATCAGTTACAAACACGGTTGTCATGCCATTTGCACTGCTAATTTCAGTGCAATGGAAGTTTCGTTTCACCTAAAACAATAGAATGACGCCGTATTCCCTGCGTATCAAAACGACAACGTTCTCAGGCATACAGCCAATGTGCTATAAAGGTCACTCATTCCAGTACTAGCATACATTCGACGATTTTCAATTAACAATTCAAGGCAAACTAAACTGCCACAAAGAAACCAAGCAACCTTTAGTTTCAGCTGCTCTGTACAACTAACACAGAGCACAAGGGTTCTGTTGCAAGAATATGTTACAATAACAACACGCGTGACCCACCCTGGAGGACATGCGCAATGCTCAAATGCATTAAATGCTCCTTTGACGTGAAGTAAACGTTTATAGATTCGTTGTAAAGTTGTCCCCGGCTCTTAACTAAGCATCACGCCAAGTATACGTGTGGGGTACTGGGGGCATAGCTCCACGCATCAACCCTTTAAGCTCAAAGGCAACCATATGCGCCACCTGCTTTAATAATGAACAAGTCTGCACTGTTTATTGGTTTCGTATGTTCTCGGCTTAAACTGCTATTATTTCCGCATTAACCACTTTACCCATGAAATGGTGAAGTGTTGCGTTTTCTTTGCGGTACGAACTGAATTCTATAAAGTGTGTTATGGCGCCAGAGTTAACCTTGGTACTACTCGGGAGTGGTTTCACGCGCCGGCCCTTTTACCTCCCCCGCAACCCAACAAGCTTGGAGGCTAGGTAAGCCGAACAGCCGATCTTTGGAAGAGAAAGATCCTATTTTGTGCGGGAATCCAGCCCTGCCCCCATCTATACGGCGTTGCCCCGAATTTCTTCATGCAGATCAACAAAATTTGTCCACATAAATCACAGAATAACATTTTCTACTATTAAATGTCATATACATGCAGATTTCACACCGTTTAACTATGCCATTGACGTGTTTAAATCGTTGTTCGGCTTTGGTATAAGAATAAATACATACATATAACATCTTGCTGCCTACTACGACCTACAGAAGGTTTCGCAGACGAAAAGAAAAACTGAATTGTTTTAAGCAGGTCCCCCACTACATTCGAAACTTCCAAAAAAAACCTTCGATGTGTTTCAGCTGGCCTTAACACCTTCCCCCCTTATGCAGTGGCTGACCATGCTGCTATTGGTCAAGAGGTTGGATAACATGACTCCTCGGTTGCTATGTTGCCAGCTCCTGCACAGTTATCGGCCCCGAGGCAAACCCGAGGAGTTGAAGGACAACACATGTCCTGGCTACCGAAGGAAGCGTGTTTCAAAAGAAAGGGAACTAATATTCCCGGGACCTCAAACACGAAACATCCTGTTACTAACAGCACAGCGATCACACATTATACGAATATGAGCAAAAATTGGATATAATTTGTGAAGGCGTGACGATTTCAACATCGTGTTAAAGAGTTCTAGGGACATGAAATTCAAAATTAGCATTCTTTGTTGTCTGTATGATGTTGCCATTTGTCTGGAGCCGGGAACTCAACGAATGCACATGTGCAGTAAACAAACATACCCTTCTGTGCAAAGGGTTCACAGATGACATAATCATCTTGTACTATGTGGGTGTAGTCTTTGGCTGTAAGGCCATAAAGTTTTGCCGGTAATATACATTTTGAAGATTTCTGTCATTTTCATTGCCACTTGTATACTACTTAAAACTTTCTGCATGCTGCTGTCTGCAAAAGACTTCGGAAATTCTTTTGATGATCACTTGGAAGACTTGCGGGGATTATCTCAACAGTACACAGGTTCAAGACGAGTTTTTAATCGCTATTAAAATGAAACTGGCACTGAGAATTCTATACAATATTGTAGGTCATATTTAAATTACTACATGTAGTGACACAAAAAGTGTCACTGTATCTATCGCATGTATTTGAGTTACATATCTGGACCACGCGTAATATTATTTCGATGTTTCCTAGAAGGCAGCAAAATGGACAAAATAACCTTGAAAGATCCATATACAGAGCAACCTTGATATTTAAACTCTATGTAAAAAAGTAATCGACCCACTCCATGGGGCAGATAACTTCTGTAGCAAAGTAGGATTTGAGGTTTTCACAGCATCGAGTCTTATGGGTTGCAGTCAAGTAGTTGGGTCCTTGGTACCTCCATCATCATACAAAAAGTTTTAAAATTTCAACATCTGCCATAATAACAGAAAGGACAGATTTTATTACCTTTTCCCTGACCAGAGGCCACATTCACCCTGTCCTTATCAACTCAAACTACAGGCAATTTATTGAAATGCTATGAAAGTAGGTCTAGTATTGCAAAAATATTCACATGGAAGTACCAATTAATTGTGACAAACTTCCACGATACTTTCAATGACCTTCAATTCACAAATGACTACTTCCACACCACAAAATCATTCAATCATTTATTTAAATAATGGACTGGCTCTTGACCTCTCTACAATACTAGCAAAGGGATATTTCAAATACCAAGATTACATTCCACATCAGCAGCATGAAATGCAGCCTATATAAAACTATCCTTGTTAGAGTTCCCACAACATAAACATATAGACTACAGTCTTAATACAGTGTATCCTGTTTCCAATACATCAGGACAAGTAACATTGAAAACAAAATTCCTCCTCCGCTATTCACCTCCCACTGTCAGTTTTGTTCTCTACCCTCAATTCATTGCTAACTTTTCTAACCACATAAAATTCCTCATGTTGATATAGCTTTATAAACCTGAATCACCATACCCTCCAACCAGCTTATGCCAAACTTAGGATTCCTTTCCTTACACATAGCAAGGTAATACAAATCTGTACTTTCTGCCCCATAATATTTAGAAGACAGAACTGCAAAATGTAACGTACAGCACAAATTACCCGAGGTTGAATGTGCCAAACTAATATTTCTACTACCCAAGGCTGAAATGTACGAAACTAATATTTCTACTAAGATATACTTAAAATTATTAAACGTTACATGCGGTTTCCAGGCTCTTTCTATACACAAATGTCATTTAACATGTACTCACCATCCGTTGTGTCTGCCGCTGGCACTTCGCCATTGGTCTGCTGCTTTGTTTCCTCTGCTGTAGCGACTGGTCTGGCAGGAGCTGACTGCTCTGGCTGGGGTAGAGTCGATGCAGCATCCACAGCTGGTGCAATAGGAGCAATGGGAGAGGGGACAGGAGTGGCATCAGTTGTGGAAGACTTTGAGGCAGACTTGTCATTGTCTTTGGGACCACCCTGTGGGGCTGTGCTGGGTTTATCCTTGTCCCGGGAAGACTTCTCTCTGTCACGAACATGATGCTGGGAGGAAGAGGATGACGAAGATGCAGATTTCTCGCGTTCACCTCGACTCTGCGATACAGAGGAGGATTTTTCACGTTCACGACCATGCGATTTGTCTTGGTCCCGCTTCTCCTTGGGAGACTGGGTAACAGGGAATGCAGACGAAGGTGTTGATTCTTCTGTTGGGGCTGGTTTCTTTGATACCTTGATTTCTGCTGTGGGTGCCACCTCACGAGAGGTGGCCAAAGCGGGAGGAAGTGTGGTCTGAGCGGAAGGAATCAAAGCAACAGTCGTTGCCTGAGGAACACTAGAGGCAGCCTCTGGACGTTGGGACTGTTTCCGCCGCGGAGACTGATGAAGAGGGGCAGAAGGTTTCAGGGCAGGGAACTGTTCCCGATTACTACGAACTACCTCGACAGTTGGAGCATTTGCCTGAGCACTCACCACAGGTGTCATATCTGAGTCTTTGACAGCCACCGCAGAGATCTTTACTTCAGAAACACTCGAACTGGGCACAAAGTCTACCACTTGAGGGTCGACTACTAATTTGTTCAGACCCACTTTCTCGTCTGATACCGCTTGGTTGCTAATGTTACTTTTACTATTACTACAATCACTAGGTTTACTGCCTAAATTCGTGGAAGGTGAATGTGGTAGTTGGCCCTGCTTCCAAGTTGATGGCGTCCCTGCCACAGGGGAAACAGTGGGAGGAGCCACAGGCGTTATATTACTTGATTCATCTACAACTATAATTTGCTGTTTACTAATTGCAAGGGCATCACCTGGAATAAGAATACTGCCAGGGGACATGCCCTCAGATGAAGATATACTGTTCGTACCCGAGGGATCAGGTCCATTTGTTGTCACCACCTGGGAGGACTCCAAATACGCAGGAGGTCCTGTCTGGGGAACTAATGGAACAGGAGGAGGAGGTGGAGGAGGAGGAGGTGGTGGACTTGACTTCTCACTAGCTGCCTTTGCCACACGAGCTGCAAATTCTGCAGCAACATCCATTGCACCAGGACCCATGTTCTACCAACAATGGGAAGAGAAAACATTATTAAATATCCATCTCACAAAAATAATCCAAGACAATTGTAGATTAAAATGTTTCAAACTACTATTTTAAGACAGAAGAAAATATATGGTGAATTAAAACTTATGCAACGAACAAAATATTTAATGATGGTTGCAATTCAATAAATTCGATCGAATTAAACACACACCATCGCTGTGACTACACAAGAGACAGGTCATACCAAGTTGGAATCTGCTCACACATCTGTCAGCTGTTTTCCAAACAAAGTACAAGGATGTAAATATTCAAAATACTATAGAACACAAACGCATCAAAACTGTGTGTCACATTCTTATAAAATGTCATCACACCACACTGTGTATTTATTGAATGACAATGCAAAACACAAACTTATGCATAAATACATTATTTCTAACTCCATGAAACACAGCCCTTTTTCTGAAGGACAGTCATTCAGCTGTCAAAAAAACTCTTCGCCCTTCATGAAATACGAAGGTTCATAACAATGTTCACAACAGCTTGACACAGATCCACCCAGTCAACACCCTGCCAACCCATTTCTTAAAACGCATTTAACATTATTCTACCATCTACAGCCAGGTCTTAAAAAGTGGTCTCTTCTCTTCAGCCTTTCCAACAAACAATAATATCTACAGACAAGTACAAATTATGAAGCTCCTAATTACACAATTTCCTTCAGTCCCCAGCCATTTTATCCCTCATGGATTCAAGTACTCTCCTTAGCAGCCTCAATATGCGTCCTTCCCTTATGTCAGAGACCAACTTTATATCACATTCTTGGGTAGCAGATGAGAATACGAAAGATTCTGAACTGGCTCGTAGCAAGTATTCCCAAATTTAATCTGTTTCAAAGATCACAATTTTGATATTTTAACACTTTTCCATTGAACGTCCGTAAATAACCACATCACTACACTAAATGGCTGTAAAGGAAAAGTAATATTACATGTTATACCCTCACAGAACTAAGTGACGCATTAACACAGAACTTCTGCGCAGTGGAACCATTCAGAGACAAAACAAAACAAATTATTTTGTTCAGTGCAAGTATAATTTTGTATCTATACTAATTGGATTCCTAAATATACAAAAAGCTGCTTCAGTTATTGAAACGTGTTACCTCAGCCAGCAAAGAATATCCAATAAACTGGTACAAAATAAAGATGTAATAACAGTTTACTAAATTTTTCTCAGCAAGGTACTTACCGGCTGGGGTGTTCCCCGAGCACTAGACTCTCCAGAACGAGGCGGTGTGCCGCTAGACGCAACGCTGCCCTCATAAACATCCACATTCTTCATGGTTTTTGGATCAATTATATCGATGGCATATCTCCGCCTAGTCTGCTTGCCTGTCGTCGCAGATGTCGTGGTTGGAGCTGTGGTAGAGTCACCAGCTAATCCTCCTACACCCACAACTCCACCAGGACCTTGAACAATGCCCAAGGCAACTGGGCCACCAGGCTGACCCAACTGTGCCGAAGGAGGACCCCCAGTCATTACTGGCTGACTACCTGCACCAGCAAGACCACCTGGACCGGGGGCTCCTGTCACACCCCCACTTGGTCTTGGAAGACCCACAGGGCTTTGATAATAATCTGCAAGCACACAATGTGTTTTGGTGAAATAATGAAACATTACTTCAGACAATTTTCTCTCTTACTGGACTTTGCACTCAACATATCCAATGAGAGGGCAAGGTCCTATCTGTAAAATGAAACACTGTCAATTTTAATATTTTGCTTCTCCTAACAGAACAGAACATGATCCTCACACAGAACCACAGTAAACTCGGCAGGATTTCGTGTACTGTGTATCACTGCAATTTTTTTACTGCTGATGGGTGCAGAAAGGCAAGCTATTGCATCATGTCCATGAAGATATCTAGTTACAGAAACCAGAAAACTGACAGAACATTCAATAAATAAATAAATAAATGTGTGTGTGTGGGGGGGGGATGCACCATCTGCCAAATCATCCACAGAATTATAGCATTGGGCACACACTCCCTTTCAATGCACAGAGTGTCACTGCGAGGTACTCCGCCACCATGCACATGAATGGTGGCATGCATCTGAACTGTACATTTCAACTTAGGGTAAATTCTTCACACCATTGCACTGTATATCGACAGCTAAATTGTTGCGTACAATCATTACTAGACGGGCTCTGCAAAATTTCAGGTGAAGTTTCAACCTGACAAACTGGACCATTCCTTGCCAGAAAAGGCTACAGACTACAATACACGCTCCTACGACAACACACAAATTCAACCAAGCAAATTATGAAACCACTGCCCAAAGAAGTTCACTTCATTTACTTTTCTTAAAGGTTTGTTTCTTCGTATTTTGAAACTCACAAGGGTGCTTCCCATGCTTCTATGGGCAACTTTCTACAAATTAATCCAATTATAATATGGAGTAATAGTACAAAGGGCAGTTAACATGTCAATTTAAGTGACATATGCACTGAAAGTGGTAACAAATTATTAAGCATTTGATAATTATGTTCTATGATTTTATTCAAAAGCACATTCAACCAGACATGTCGTCCTGTAATATAATCCTTCTTGGACTATTCTACTACAATTCAATGGAAACTATTAACAGAATACTTCTACATACACTGGGCTGAGGGTGCTGGGTGCTGGTAACTCTGGTATACTTGTGGTGTCATTAATATTTGCTGTGGGGCTGTCTGCTGGTAATATCCACTTCCTGTGTGATTCTGGTGCCTTGGCTGGCTCGCAAACTAGAACACAGTAGCAATGCTACAACAGTCTTGGGTTGGAACGATCAAATAAATAAATCTGACACTATCAACAATTTTAATAGTACACATCATAAAATCCACATATACATAAAATTCCAGATTCACCTTAAGATAATGAAAATCAATTCTTTCTTGCCAGTACTGGTTAAAATTTGTAATGTGATTAGTAAAATAATATATAATTGTAAATAAATACAAAACCCTCAACTCCACAATTTACGCAATGAACGCAATCATAAGACACTGTAATGGAACTTACAATTTACAATACTGAAATGTAACCAAATCCACAGAAGTAAATGAAGGTGTGTCATGGAGAGCACAAATCTGAATCCAGTGCTATTCAAGCACACACAAGGTCTAGATTTTAGTACAAATAGTTTCTACAGAATAACATGTGCAACTATGTTATATTTATTTCTTGAAAACGAACAGTCAGGCCTCCAAATATGCCTTCAATGCCAAACTGCAACGAACGGTAAAGGAGAAGTATAGAACTAATGGTTGGTAAAACTATAACTTACAATATGGAGTTAAGTTGCAGGATACGACTTGCCTTAAAGGAGCTTATAAAGAGCTTATAAAAAAAAAAAACACATATCTTAATAATTACAGGCACGTGTTCTAACATCTGTTCACTACTGCAAATATGAAATATATATCTGTATGCAGTAACATGACATTAATGAAGAAGGACATACTATTATGTTATCATGCAGTGTAAAATTGGGAACTGTAAATTTCATACAGAATGATAGTGTTACAAAGCAGATATGCCCTGGTTCATCATGTCTGGAACAAAAGCCTTTAGTTGCACCATACACTTAATTTAAACAAATCAGACACCTCACAATCTGCTCTATTATCCACTTTAAGGTACCTTGTCATTTTGAATGTACAAAATGAAGTCATAAAATAAATCACTGTTCTTTCCAGGGAAAACGTACTGTAAGAACTCAGAATATTATATTAAATTCGCAAGGACAATGCTATAAATGTATAAAAAAACAACAGAACAAATGTCTCATAACCTAAATCCAGGACAAAACAATGAACTAATTTCAAGTGCCTAAGAAGGGTAATCGAAAAACACATGGTTCATAATTAAATTTGGAACAAAACAAAATTAAGATGAATACACTAAATGGAGTAAATGCCATTTTCACTACATGTAAGGAAACTAAATATTGGTAGGTAAATTTTGTAGATTACTGTACATGGAGTACTTATATTAAAATAGAATTTCTTGAATTAGGTAATGAAATTATACATTATCATGCTACATGAGAGATATCTTACTACAGACAACTGAGGCTGCACAAACATCTGTGGAGTGGCTATTTGAGCAGGCATAACACCCTGCCCATATATCTGCTGCACCTGGGACATCGACATCTGCAACAAAAACAGATCAATGTTTGAAATTTCCTTCCCAAGCACTATTTTGCTCACCACATGTACTCAAATTTCAGTGTATTAAACAAAACCTGAGAAAATCAGTGGCCTCGCTTAATATTTAGTACATGGTAATTGAAAAGTCACACAATCCATTCCAGACACGTCCTACTTGTCAAAAAATGAAGAACTGCTATTGCTTCTTACAATCTACTATTATGTTACTATGATTGTTACTACTTGTCTCTCTAACTACTAACTGGCAAGGCTCTTTTTAAAACACAATATTTACTCAGTATGATACCAGGTTTTCATGCTGATGAGTACAAAGATGACTAGCTTCTGGAATGTTGTGCAGTCACCCTGATGATGAAGGTAGTAATCACCAGTCAATTTCTACCAGACTACACAGTGCAACATCTGAGAAGATGGCCATCTTCATTAAATTTATCGTTCAAACAAGACAGAGAAGTGTTACTGTACCATTAAAAGGTTCCATAACTCTATTCCAGATGTCAGAAAATGTTACTTCAGCAGACGACTGGTCTGAGCTAAATATTCAAGGAAGCTTGTATGCCAAACGGCATGGTGCCACATAGAAGTATGTGCACATTTACAAAATTGTTTTTCTTTTTCTGATATAAGAACTTTCAACTGTTTACACTGCACCACTAAAATACATGTTTGGGTGGTTCCATTGTATATCGTGGGAATGTTATCTGGCTCAGTAGAAGCTCGTGTTGATGAAATTACTTGATACAGTAACAAAAGTGACTTCGCACAAATGCATCATGTAAAATAACTTGGTGAACATTATGGACAGTAATAATTTACATAAAACAATGACAAATTATCCTTATAATCTTCTTCGGATAGATGGGGTACCCTGACACCAGATCTTGGACAGCAACTTGTGTGACTATTAAACCATAACCTTTCCGGAACTTCATATATTTTGTTATATTAGGGTCTCTGGTAATACATCACTACACTACACCACAAAATGTGATGTAATATGAAACTTACATGTTGTGAGAACATCTGCTGCCCAACATTATTAGGCTGCATGTTTACAACCTGATTCCTATGGTTTGGCATCCTTGGTGCTGGACCACGTGGGAAGAAGGGCTGCAAAAATAAAAGAAAGATGTCGAATACATAGAACAGGAGAGACTATTGTTCATGCAATCTCTCAATAACAAGCAGTGATGTTCTTACCTGTGAACCTTGTGCCCTTGTCTGATTTGGTACGAAGTTTAGTGGCATTTGCCCTCCTGAAATATACAATTTCATAACTATTTTGGCATAGAAAGACAGTTTCATTATTATACTAGTTCCTATCAAATCCTTCATGCTTATTTCATTAAAGTTAAATACAAGATCATAAAATCCATATCCCCACTTGCTGGGGTTAAGAATATGTGGAATATATGTACATGCTCCTCTCCATGTCTTAACAGCATGTAACTTCTACATATAAATAACTTTACTTTGGGCTGCTAATTCCAAGCCAGAAAATTAGAAATTAAACCAAATGTTTAGGAATTATCAACTTGTGCACAAAACAGAACTCAAACTGCCCAATTTTCAGAATGTACCTTTCAGGGGCTCTCAATATGCACCCTACAGATTTGTTTACTGCAGCCATGTACATTTTTATATCATCATATCATCCTGTATGATGAATAAGTTCACAACCTAAATTATAAAGGAACATAAAACTTTATTAACAAAAATTACACACTACAATGTTAACCTGATAGTGAAAGTATGTTCAAAGCATTTTTAATCAAATGCTATGAACTTTCGATAAATTTTCATTTATAAACTGGTGGCCCACAAATTAGTAACAAAGGGTTTAATGTGGCTCCAGGTTTTAAAAAAATTGTTAAGCCCTAACCAAGTTGGTTCTAGGCCTTTCCCTCCTCAAAGACTACTTTAACATACATTATGAGACAGATTTAAAGGGTATGAATTCATGTGGGTCCGCAGTGGCCCAGCAGTCTGAGGCGTGGGCCTTGGGCCGTTTGGTCGCTGGGACCGTGGGTTCAAATCCCACAAGCCATGGATGTTTGTCCACGTTTTTCTGTGTTGTGTTGTCCTGTGAACAGGTAGAGGCCTAGCGACGGGCCGATCCCTTGTCCAAGGAGTCCCACCAAATGTCTACAGATCAAGCCAACGAAAAGTTGGGAACCACAGTGCTCAGGCACTTGAAGAACGGGTCGTTCCCAGTATCCCAGTATTAATTCATGCAAACTTTCATGTCAACTTCCATAAAAATTGCTCACATGAAAGCTACCCACAGACAAGATCAGGGAGATAAACAGATATTCTATTTTAGAAAAAACATTTTTTTTAAAGCCAGTCTGAAATGAAGGGCACTAAAGTTGGAATGACATGAAAAACTTATGATGTTTCTAAAACAGACAGAGCATTATTTGAAATCTTATCACTTTAACAGGCTTAACAGAGGACAACATTCACAAAGACCATTTCTACAGTAAGACACCAACAATTAAAAATGGTTATAATTTATTTAGTCGAACAAAACAATTTATGGTCTTATGTTAACAATACTTCAATCTATAAATGCCAGCTGCATTAAATCAACGAGCAATGTAACAGCATTACAATTTGATAAGTTCTGGAGATCTACAGCTCCAGCTAAAGCAGAAGAACAATAACACTTCATTTTATTGTCCTGTCCAGAATACCAGCCAAGTCACATACCCTGCTGCATTGGTGGTTGACCCTGCATGTGTGGTGGACCCTGCTTGCCCATTTCGGCAGGTCCTGGAGGGGTTGAAGTTGGTGCAGGGCCCTGGGGTCCCCCAGTATGTTGCGACTGTGCTTGTGGAGGAGGCTGCTGTTGGTGTGGAGGTGGGATTGAAGGGTTACCACTGTGATGTGGATGATGAATAGCCCTCAATTGGGGTGCACTTGGAGGACCAGCCCCTCCTTGCTGTTGGGGGAACCCAGCACCTGGCATATGGAAGCCAACCTCTGGTCCTGCAACATAAAACAATGACCAATTACTGCCATGGATACATTACGCAATGACAATCAAGGTAACAGCAAGAATTTATCTAAAAAAATGTATGATTTAATCAACTTTACTGCAAAGTGAACTCAACTGACAATTCTGAAACTTATGTTGGACAACTAAAATACTTCAAATAAATGTCTCAAGTCTATCACACAACAGCATATACTACACAACCAAATTTGTTGTTATGCAACTAAACTGCTTAAGAGTTTAATCCAGTGACTTTTCGCAAATAACATATTGTCTCCCAAACAGGTGGAGGTAGTATAGCTGTCAAGTATGGCAGAGCTAAATCCTGAATTTTTATTGAAGCAATACAAGTCTAATGAACACACATGACAATTAACTAACTTTTAACACCACTATTGCACCCTTCTTATTCCAAAGGGAGTGCAATCTGTCACTTCCTTTACCCACAGCTTTTAGAAATGTCCTGAGGCCAAAACATAAAAAAAGACAAAGTATTCATAGCATTGGCTCATTGTCAATTACCTCAAGACAACTGATATAATTGTATGCACTGTCCCAAGCACTTCCTGATGGCAACAACCATTTTTATTTAGTCCTAAGGAGCACTTAGAATGAAGTTAATATATGATTTTCTTGTAACACAATTCAAGTCTTGCTACTTCAGTTTCAATCAGAATAAACCTACCTCAAAAATCGTTTTCTAAGTGAGGATTTCACCTAAGATGATGAACAGACACCTCTAGATTAAGGAACTGTGTCTAAAATTAACAGTATGAACTGACCACAGTGCAAACAGACTACTGCTAGTGCTACAACAATACTCACTTTGTGGGGTAGAAGATCGTGAAATATAACTGACACTCGGTTAAGGTAATATTGTAAACACAGTTAAAAATATAACACACTAAAATGAGTAATTTTCAACACTAGCTATTCAGGCCGAAGTCAGTCTCAATAGTTAGCTACAACAGAATTTCGAACACTAATCAGCCAATTTAGATGTTACAAACTTGAATATCATCATTAAAGTTCTCTGAGTTAATGCAGTTATTAAGATCACTGGATTTTTTCGCCCCAGTCATAGTTTGCACTATAAACAACAGCAACTGCTACATGTTATGACCTACTTCTTGTTAATAAAACCCATGAATTATGCATACAGAAGTCTTTGTACCTGCTTCATACTTCAAAAGCATCTAAATACATCTGACAGTGAAAAGACTGCACAAATACAATTGTATGAAATGCAAAACAAAAGTTTGAAACATCAGATTAAACCAGTGTCAGATGAATATACCTGTGTGAAACAGCATTCTCAATATGCACCAAGAAGAAGGGGGGGAAACCTGAAATAGACATAACGCAGAACACAACATGATGTTACAAACTTCCAAAACTGTACCTGACTTTATCTTCCTTGTGGTGAGCAAACAGGTCCACCTGCCACTTTTGGGAAGTACAACAAAGTATTTCCTATAATATGGGGTGGACTCAGTTTACCTTATTGTATACATTGTAAATTAAAAATAGGCAATTAAAAGACATAAGACTTTGTTTTGAGGGTTCCCTAAATACGTTTTATTGCCAAAAAGTTCTGCAGTAGTAAAATGTTTGAGAATCATGGCTCTAATGCAAAGATGAGAAGCAATGGTGATAAAGCATCTCTTGTTTCTGGGCCAAGTTTAAACATATTTCAATTAGTCTAAATAGTTTCAAGTGCAGGCCTAATTACATGAGAAAGTAGTACAATGCTTCCCTCCTAAATATATAAACAGCTGATCAGGGCAATGATGGAGGCAGCAAGGACTTCTGAAACGTCGGTAAACTTCTACCAGAAGGCAGTCATCTTCAGACTTTCCACCGTGAAAACCTCAAATCCCAAAGGATTCTGCTGTGGATTAGACCTATGCTATCCAGCCAGCAGCATAACTAATATCATGCGGCAGACAACTCAACTTGACAATAAATACCTTGTACTTTGTGTAAAACCCTGGCAAAAAGCTACACAAATATATTCAAAGCCAGGAGAGCTCGGAACTAGAAAGACAACGCAGGCTGACAAAGCAAACCAAACAAGACAGGTCATCTCCATTAACTGCACATTAAAATTAAGAATGTTCAATCCCAAAGTCGTCACCCAATATGAAAAGCGCTCTTTCACTTTTCTTGTTCATGCCGTTAGTATCCCAATCCCAAGGATACCACATTCATCAATAATCTATCAGGAACATCTCTAGCATCGCTTCTCCTCACGGCACAGATGTGCTTTTTTTTTTAACTTACAACATCTGAATGACTGCATTGTTACTTCCAGCATGTGTGCAGGCAGAAGAGACAGGATATAAAGTACAATTCACCGGTTCGTTCAGCTCACTAGAACCGGTTCTTACCTTCTGGCAAGCGGTTACAAAGAAGGGACGCGGCCGAAGCATGACAGTCGAGGGTCCACATGTCCGGATTTTTAAAACACGTCCCACTGGCCAGCTAATGTTGTAAAGCGTGTTCAAAATGTCCAGCCATGCACGCTACTGCATCAACTACTGTGTCTATTCCATCTTTATTACAAGCAATCACTGTAATTTACAACAGCGTGTATTTTTTTCCTTTCGTTTTTGACTAAAAATGCACAGACTTCGCAGAACATTTCTTCACGTACTAAACTATAAGAGACGGGCCATACAATCAAGCCATTTTGCAATTACCTACTACAGTATCTCATTTGAACACAACGTATGTTGTTGATACGGCAAACAAAACAGAAATAAATCAAGCGCCTGACGTATTCATGGGACATATCGTTCGGATCATTGTTTAGCCTCCGTACTTGGTACATTATCCTGAAACATCAAACGTAACCATTGTTCACAAAGATGCTGGTAAGCATCTGTAGGTCAGTACAGACCCAAATGCGGTATGCTACGATTATGATTTTCGCCAAGGTCTCGCCAAAGGCTTCAGATTTTACGTTCAAGCAGACACAAAATGAACAAAAGCTTCAGTTTAATTATTCAGGCAAGAATGACTCATGAGGCACTGATAACTTTCTGTACAACTTGAGTTGGCAGTAAACAACTCCGTATTTTCATTACGAAGTATATTTGTGGCCTTCCTTTGGCTCCCAGAATAAACATCTATTCTCCTACCCGCATTCAACCGATGTTTGTAACGAAATGCAAACTATTTTCCTGGCGAAAGATCCAAATCGTTTATCTATATGACCATTCTGAGCAGATTTCATTTGGAAGTAATTCTTTACGGACCAAAATTAAGGACAAATTTTGTCATTTCGCAAATATCCATGTTGGGCATAATATCTAAGGGAGTCAGGATGCCCTTAAAGATGACGACGAACCCCCCACCGCAAATACCTTTTTAACAAAAACGCATACGATCGTAAACAAACTTTTTCGTACCACCATGCCGATCACTAGGCATGTAACAGATTAAGCGATTATTTGTTCTCTAGCTTCATGTTCCATATTCTTGCTAGAAGAGCACAAGATGACGCTGATCTTAATAATTTATCACTTTCTTGCGGAGTACGCAGAGAAAAAGCAAGGGAGTATTTGGAAGCGTCAGATACAGAAGGGGAGAAAATATTAAAATGGACATTACGAGCGATAGGGTGCACAGATGTGTACTGTTGGGATAATTTACATCAGAATAGCACGGTGCAACCCTCAAAAATATATCTTTTGTGAAAGCGTTCCTGAACCTTCGGGTTCCAAACAAGCGGGGAAGGAATTTCACCAGCAGAAACCTGCCTAGTGCTCGAGAAAGACAGAAGGGCGGAGGCAACAACGTGTGACGATACGATTACGAGAGATGTGTTCTCTCGATAGTTCAAGCCACCTATCTGCAGTTTTCCACAAAAATATATAAACAATATTTATTTTAGCATGTTCAGCACAGGAGGGCCAAAATCGTGTTGATCGGAAACAGCTATTTCTTTCGCAGAATATTTTATACCACTATCTGAATAAAAAAAACTTCCTTTTAAGTGTCCTACGTTGCTTTCGAACAACGGGCATGATTAACTTTGTACTATCGCTGTTTAAAAAATACATTTATAAGGTTTATTTCTGTTAAACATAGAAGCTGCACACTTTAAATGACTGCCCGCTCCACAAACAAAACCAAAACAGCCATCGTTACACAAAGACATATGCATTCCTGGTTAAAGTACGTTTTAAATCGTTACGATATCGACAGTGAGAGTAACAAGGCCGTAAATCAACAGTAATTACACGTGACACTCTAAGCAACACTAAAAAGTGTTGAACGATACGCTGACCAGTAAATAACGACATTGAGGATGTGGAAAGATGTGGCCATAATCAATTAATTCTGAGACACTCTTCTGGCATTTGTCTCCAACGATGATCGCGAGAGTAGCAGGGCTGCCACTATCAGCAAAGAGAATGCTCAGGAAATGACGTTATGAGCAAAGTATTTGCAGCAGCAATGCTCTAGGAGGGCGGAAGATGGATGAAAGCATACCAGCATCCCACTTTCGCCTGTCAAGGACATATAAATAAGGTAATCAAAATGCAGATGGCTGTCTTCTGCGTTGTTGAGCCATGATTCCCTGACGATGGAGGCATCAAGTCCCTCTGAAATGTCGGTAAACTTTTATCATACCACGCGGCACAACAACCCCAAGACAGCCAACTCGCCGACGTGAAAACCTCAGAACTTACAAAGTGACTGCACAAGCCTACAACAACCTCAGAACAGCTGTAAAATATTTCAATGGACACGAAAGATGCATTTAAATTGCCAATCCCAATTACATGATTTAAAGTCAAAACCATTTCTTCGATAACTGGATTGGCCATGACCGCCGATGCTTTTAGAACAGGCACGACACGAAAATTAAAACCGCCATCTTTAGCGCCAACTCCTGAAAGGCTAGTGAGTGACAGAACCACGTCGTTCGCTACCTTTAACAAACCAATCAATAGATAAAATCGGAGCCAACGAACCACATCACAAACCCCGTTGACAGGGATGCCTGCAGGCAAATCAGTTCGGTAGCCCTCAGGCTAATATTTCGAAGCGGGTAAGTTACGGCTTGGGCGTGGAGTAAGGGAGAGAGGGTTAAGAGTGGGGCACAAAAATCGATACTTGCAGATGCACCAGTTAGGAATCTAGGCTAGGTGTACAATCCGTGGCACAAACATAGGCATATTAGCGGGATGTAGGCCAGAATGCACAAAATCAGTCACATTTTTCGAATGGGCATTTACAGTAACTCTTCTTCCACTTTATGTCATCAATGGAACTTGGACTTCGGAACATGAGAACCAACACAAATCTGCAAAACATACTCATTCCAAACTGAGCCTTTCTGATACAAAACTATCGGTTTTATCACAAAAATAAACAGAACAGCCAACTCCATGGTGAAGGGTCCTGAGAAGTTAAAGAGTCGCTCAGATGGTCACGAAATTACCAACTTTTATGGAATACAAAGGTTAATTACCGTGTTCACAACCTCCTATTAGACCTTACCCTGACGCCAAAGATTTTAATATCATTCTGCCATCTACGTCAAGAAATCCCTTCCCTTCAGACTTTGGACAAAAATTTTCTACATTTCTATCACACACGAGAACGATTACGACAGATACCTAGAATAAGAATGACAAGTCTATGAATCATAATTGTGGGAAATTTTGATTATAATATGTATAACAAGTGACAGCGTCTTTCATAGTGCCACTTGCCAAAACAGCTATTTGTAGGTTATACATATGCCGTTATCATAACCAAGATTATTTTCAACTCCACTAACAGACTTACTGCCGCACTTGACAACTTTTGGTGGAGTCTTAGAAAGCTGATACAGTAATAGGATAATAGAATTAGAACCATCTTAGGGAACAGGTTGTGGTAATTTGAACCGTTTCACGATTGGGTCCTATGACAAGTCTTTCTTTCCTCTAACGTCACAAGATCTCTGAGATCCAATAAGTGTATCGATCTCTGTACAAAAAAATATTTTATACACAAATGCCCGATTTATTACGAATGCGTAAACAGATCAATAATTATATAAAACCTACGTCACAGCACATTTAGGCCTATCTTTAGATCTACGCGCGTGTACAAGTAGTTGCACAACGTGACGATAAATAACCTAAAGCATAAGATAATTAATTAATCGCGCACCTTTTCTATACCGTAATCAATTCTACTTTTCGTACAAGCTCGAAGTTCAAGACTTACATACGAGTAAGTGACGCTAATAAGACATTTCTTGAAGAGGCCTTAGCCATCTTTTGGAATGCCACCAGTCAATCGTCATTCTTGACGTAAGGAGTTCTTCAAATTTTACATATCACACCTTCTGCTCTGTTCCAGTTCACAAATGACTCATCTTAATCTATTAATCCTTTGGTAGAGCTACACAGATGAACGTCGCAAAATCCCTCTACCTACACAGGAAAATAACACACTAAAAAAGCCGACACGCATTCATGCCTAGTGTAGGATTCGACCCCACAATACCAATCACTTCACTACAAGTAATTACAGCCAAAATACTACAACCACGGAAAACTACAACGCAATGCCAACTTCGAGACTGTTTAACATTTATTACAGAATACGATTTGAATTATTACTGGGGACCAGTACGTGGGATACCACAAGGAAACCTTGTGCAGAGGGATGGTGGCAGTTGAGTATAAACCCCAACCTTCATATATAGGAGTCTCAAATAATATGTACACACACAAAGCTAATATTCCGTATTATGTGCGAACATATTTTCGGGACACCTGTATACAGCACATATACATGGGTCAATGAGAATACGCAGAACACTGAACTGTGAGACTTAACAATACGACACATGTCTAGTCAATATTGATCCATCAGCAAGCACTGGAAGGGGGAAACGGAACAACCTGCAATACCACAGGGACCGGAAGCTTGTCGCTCACTGTCGAAGGATGTCTTTTACTCAGGCGTTGCCTCACCTGCAACCATAAAGACTTGGGATCTGAAGTCTCACGTGAGACTTAGTTTGCAGATGGGCTTACACTGTCAAGCCATGTAATCGATAAAAATTTCTTTCAGACAGGTATACGTCATGCAAAACATAATTATACCAAAATGTCGTCAAATCATACATTACTCGACTGAGCTGCAATTAGGTCAGAAATGGGGAGGAGCCAATCAGTACAGGGGAGTACAAGACGTCGTAGTCCGCAGTGCAGGGGTTACTTACTGGTAGCGTTTGCTGTCGAGATGATGCGGAATTGGCCGAGGGGTGGAGGCGGATGCTGTGGCGCGCAGTGAGACATGAAACAATGCATTGTCGGCTCCTTCCTACCCCCGTAACGGGACACCATGACTCAGTTCAATATAACGCAGAGTAGAAATGGACACTGTCTAAACGTACCTACCAACACGAGAATTGTGAGAATTTAGTAAAAGTACTCGTCGCACAAGCACTCCCATGGTGTGAGGCGCATTCGACCTCCGAAACAAAATGACCACCCGTCATAAAATGCATGTTCTTTCGACTTCCTTTCACCGAATTCTAAAATTTCAACACTTGTTGAAAATATCGAACTTCCTTTGGATTAATTCTTTATAAACTTTTAAATGGTTTTTCCAACAAAATTTGATAGAATAACACAGTAGGCTACATCACACAGTCGCGAAGTGTCAAACTTCGGAAATGTGAGGCTTTGGAAGCCGGGGAGAACACAATTTTTGTACTGAAAATTAAGTTTCTATCACTCGTCATGTCAGATTATGAGTCACACGCCACACAACTAATGAAAATTTTTCTTTGGGATCAAAGTTCAACTGCTGGTGACTCAGCCGTCGGCCACGATGCAGATCTTGTAGTGACGGTTTTAGGAACACCAAATTATACACTGGCAACTTTGTTCACTTCGGATTCGGTCCATTGCACCAAAGCATGCTAGTCTTCACTTCCATGCAATTTGACTAATCAATACGTGGGTAGGGCATAGGCCTAGTTGCTAAGAAACACTCCACAAAAGCTTCACTTTCGACCTCCTTTGCTTTTAAAATTGAACAAGCCTCCTCTTTTAATCACAACCTACAACAGCACATATCCCAGCGAACACACAAACTCACAGATTCTAACAGATCAAAAAACATACTATCCAAGTCCATGCAAAAAAGATATCTGATGGAACTGCTGCAATGGGATGACCATTCCACGTGACGCCATGACACTACACTGAGCGCTTGCTTTGCTCCCCCTCTACCCACACCCCTCTCGCCCTTCAAGCAGACAAGGTTCGTCATGTACGCACGCGTGCATTCTGGACGGCACAGAGATCTCGCTAAAGAGAAACGGAATAACAAAGACATAACCTCAACTGTGGAAAGAAAAATTCCCTCTGCTAGCGAAGGTGGGGGGGGGGGAGGAGGAGAGACCTGTCAGTTTCATAATCTTAACCAATGCGTGTTCCGATCTCATATTATTTGTGGAGCTCAAGGACACATTGTCCTCGTCGCCTACGCACACACGATTTCCGTCTACAGACTGCAGCCTCCTTGCAAATTTAACCGGCAGAGTTGCTGTGTTAAACATAAGGAATGGCACATGAACATTATGGTACTTTTCAAAAACTGAAGCCACACTGCGAAACGGTTAGCAATGGAAAGCGAAGCAAACACCCAACGACGGACCAGAAAGGGGAATAAATTCCACTAAATCGCATTCGATCTCACTTAAAATTACACCTGAAAAATGTGAGTGGGTGGGTGGGTGAGTCTGCGTTCTTCATAAAAGGAAGCCATTGACCTCTATCACGCAGTGAAGTCTGCGCCCATACATTGCGTTGCCTGATGGCAGGAAGACAAAGACCAGATGCAGATTGCGCACGCATCTACGCAGCGCAGCCTCGACCCATGTGCGAATTCAAGGTAGCCTAAAAATGAGTTACTGAGTTTCAACAACAAATTCTTCGACCGAAGTTCTCGGGTTCAACCCTCTTTGAAATGTACGGGACACAAAAAGAAAAACATTAATCCAAGAAGAACAGATAAAGGCGAAATGATCGAAATGCCAACTAGCTGCTGAATTAAATTTAAAGTTTTGCATAATTACTGAATGACCATGGAATACAAAAACCACAAACTGTAATTTCTCTTTAACGTAAACGTAGCAGTGGCGTCACCAGTCCCTGAGATGCAAGAATGGAAATACGTGCATGAGCCAAACCCCTTCACGTTGCTGTAATTTAATTTTATGCAACGAACTGAATGCGACAGATCTGTAGTTGTTCAAATTTCAACAGACACATCCTGGTACAATTAACATCTTCTGTACAATGGTCGACAATTACATCTTTTGTTAACACCAGACAGGGTATGTCGTTCAAGTTTTGCCTAAAAAACCTCTTCAATGCGTATTCGGGATCAGAACAGCCGATGTAGGCCTAATGTAAACAGAACCATCGGACACAAACACAACTCAAATGCCAGAATCGATCCTGTGCAATGGTCACCTGAAGGAAAATGCCTCCCACCCCAAAAGAAAACCTATGCCACTTTTCAGGGTACTACAGATCTCCAACTCTTGTATCTCACCCTTTGAATCCCTAAAAGTCATTTTAATGGCAGTCTACCTCTTTCGGGAGTTTACAAAAGACATCCAATAACGGCTTCACGCTGTTGAAGGTATTCATATCGAATGGAGCAGCAACCTTAAATATAATATAATAGATCAACTTCATTTCTGCCTAAACTGTACTGTAGTATCACTTTACCCTAAAAGTTCCAAATATTTCCATAATGCCTGAAACAATAAAATCTACAATAATATGAAAATGTCTTCCGACAGCTTTCCCCCCTTCTCTTTAAAGACAAGCCTGTACCGGGGTGTCACGTTAATTATTCTGGCTGGCCACGAATCAGATAACCGGGATTGCGTTTATATCATCGACATCACATGCAGGCCAGCCAAGAGGCTCACCAACTACGTGGGTACCCTGGATTCCATCAACTGCGGAAATTCGCCAATCGCCCCCATGTAAAAAAAAGCAAGGATTACGAATTCGCTTACGTACAAAGCTTTCCTACACGTCTTCATCGTGCGGCGCTTAATTAAAATCAAGTATAACACATTTTACCACGGAAACAAATACGCATCAGTCTACAAAATTCGATATATTTTACGCTAATAACTACAGCATTTTCGTTTTTGGCATTCGCCTAACGCTGCACCCCATATCTAGACAAGCTTAATCGGGGGAGGGGGGGGTCATCACTGTAATTTATATGTAATCGATCTACTGATAAAATATTCTGCATTCGTCAGACAGTGGACAAAAATAGACCCACAAGGACACAGCACACGAGCTACTTATAGATTCCAAGAAAGTCCATGATTAATTTAGGACAGAAGTACTCTACAACGTTCTCATTGAATAATTCGGTACAAACATAAAGCTAGTCAAACTACTAAGCTCCATACAGGTAATATATTTGCCCAATGCAATTCCTATTCAGAATGGTACAGAACAAAGAGATGCTCTTTTATCACCACTGCTTTTCAACTTTCCTTGAGAATTCCACTAGAAAGAGTTTAATGAGTGCTTCGCACCAACCTCTGAGCTACACTGATTTTAATTTAACGGGCAAAAACATATAACAAAACCCTTAACATCTATTATTTGCTAGTAAGAAAAATCGAAAAGAGGAAAATATAATATACAGGTACATAATAAAGCCTTCGAAAATGTGGCAAACTTAAAAACTTCAAATCATACAAACTTATAAGTCAAAATTGCAACGGCGAATTAAATTCGGGGAATGTTTGCTACAGTGAAGTCCAGAATCTCCTACCTTCTGATAAAAAAGGCAAAAGATTACCAACGACTGAGAATTTCAACAAACACTTATTCTCGCGTATTATGGTGGTGGAGGTAAATTTCCTTGCATTTTAGATACAGTTTCACGCTCTGGTCGGTTTTATCCTCATCTACAAATCCTTCGGTAGCACGGGGCATGAAACTGGACAGCCACTGACCACAGGAGAGATGAGAAGAAAAGTATTTTTGTTCATGCCGAGAATCAAATCCCAGTCTCCCACTTTATAACCCTTCAATATGACTGGGCTAGAAGTTTACTAACGTTTCAGAAGTGGTCGCAGCCTCTATCATAAGGGCAATAAGTAAACATCAAGTTCATTCATCACCCTCAAATGAATGTGATAATTTCATCCGAGAGTTATGGAGTCTACTATCCAAGACTGTTTTGGGGCAACCCACTGTACTGCTAGGCGTCTCCTCCGTCAGAAAATATGACCACCAGCCATGTTCCGTGGTTCCATTAGGTACCTGTTGTCCTAATGTTTCCGAAGAATTTTCATCATTCGATGTTAACAAGTAAATGCAGTATAATCGGCGCAGTAGTTTTTGGCTGGTGGAATTTTCAAGGGGAAGACTAGGAGCGAGTCACTTGTGCAATAGTATAATACTGGCTGCGCCGAGGAGCTTATCGGACTGAATGCCCAAACAAAAGAAATACACTGACCGTTTCACCTCAGGTACACAGAGTAAGCCCAGGCCCGTCCGCCAGCTTCTCCACCGGCCAAAAACTACTGCGCCGACTATACTAGTGGACTTTGTACGTGTTATTGTGCTGGTCAGAGCCTGGTGCCTGCTAGTGTAAACTCCCTTTACAGACAGAGTTTCTCCGAAGACCAATCCCCAGTGATTGTAAATACCTTGTTTGCACAAATACCGTATAACGGTTCAGAACAAATACGAACAATAGGTCGCTAGTCACCTAGAAATCCAGCGTTTCACAATCGTCCAAAGATTGCCTTATTGTAACCGGCCGGACTTGTTTTGACGTCCTTACGCTGACACTGCTTTCATTATTCTTATATCAAATTCGTTTATGATTCCGTAATGGAGTTCTATGAATTAAAGCTGCAGGGGCGAAATCCCTTCGAACAAAGAGGTGATTGTAATGAGTAAGAGCCTAGGTGGGGAGACGTGTGTGGTCTCTCGAAGTAGTGAGACCAATGGGGCAGTAGTAGAGAGTATCTTCAAGGAAAAAGATCAAAAACTTTTATGTGTATTTTGAAAGAAACTATATAATAAAGGTACACTTAGAGTTCGAGGCAGTTGTTACTTCTTTGACATTCGATTCCTGTGAGCGACCCTGAGTATCCTGAGTTTTAGCCGAAGCTTACACTACCCTCTGATGATGGAGACATCAAGCACCCCCTGAAACGATGGTAAACTTCTACCAGACCACACGGAGTAACAACCCCGATGACAAGTCGTCGCCCCCCCCCCCCCGTGTAAACTGAAACCTCAATCAATAAAAAGTGATTGGTCTTTTTGGAAACATCACTGAGTGCCAAGCAATCTGCCGATACAATGTCAAATTAGAAAATAAGTTAACTATTGTCATTAAAATCAACATATGGGCTTGCTATATATTTATAACACCAGTCTCGGAAGAGAACGGCAGTGTTTCCTGCATCAAACATTTTTAAACAAGAAAAGCACGCGAAAACAGTTCAGGGGGTTGTATTTATGGAACGATCATGCAAGGTCATAGGACTACTTCAACTGTGTCAAATGATGCAGCGACAACGCTGTTTAGCCAGCTATACCACCCTCAGAACATAAATTCCCCGGGCACTTATACACGTATTGCAGCTAAAAATATCTGCTCAACCCCGCCTGAAGGGTAGACTTCACTTGGGACACTGGCTGGTCTCAGTCGGTATGCCTTACTGGGAGGGGCATGCTAAACAGTCGACAATCGCAGACC